GGAAACAAGTACGCTCATACAATGAGGTGAGAAAAATATATTGTCAAAATAGTAATACCTATCAAAAATATTCATTCACATTGACATATTTCCAACAATTTATTCCAGAGAAAAATTCTCACTTTTGCAAAGTAACACGCATATTAAGATATCCTCTGCCACATGGACTATTATTGCAACAGTCTACAAACAACCCAAATATCCATTGATTAGAGATTGATCCAATATATTATGTTTCATTCATAAGAAAAAAGAATAATCACCTGGATCTAAGGAATTATCATCAATCAGTAATAATCACCAAGTATAAAAAAGCAAAGAGCAGAACATAGTATCTGCTCCTATATAGTATATAGTATCTCACCATTTGTGTTAAAAATAAAGTCAACATCAAAAAGTGGTTTTTAAAAAAGAACTCCCCAATTATGTCATGTCTGGAGAATAGAAACTACTTCTAAATATACCTCGATAAGCAAATTTTTTAAGCATTTTCATAACATACATACAAATTTTTGATTTTTAAAATGTTTTACCTGAAAATATTTGGGGGAACATGAAAATTATAAATAAATAGTCTGAAAAGATGGGGAAAAATATTCTTCTAAGAGCTTTTAAAATGTCTGCTATCGATTCCTTTATCTCCACATATGTGGGATCCTTTCTATTGTAAGGTATTTTGTCATTGTGAAAATACAGAATAAATTGTTTATGGAAGATAAATTATTTTTTGAAGATTTTAGGAAAGCATTACTTTGCATTTGTTTTCTGTTTAAATGTGCTTATAAATATATTTTTTAATTTTTTTTAAAAATTTTAAAAAGTCTGCTACAACAATGTTTTTCAAACTTTTTGGTTTCAGAACTGCTTTTTACGCTCTTAAAAGTTATTTAGAATTTGGAAGAATTTTTATTGATAGAAGTTATATGACTATATTAGCCATATATTGGAAATAAAACTTCGAATTTGAAAAGTTTTTCATTTAGAAATAATAAGCCCATTATATGTTCATATAAAAACAATTTTATGAAATATAGCTACTATTTTTAAAAAATAAGTTTAATTAAAAGAGTGGCACTGTTTTACACATTTGCAAATCTCTTTAATGTCAGGTTTTACAGAAGACAGCCGGATTTTCTTATTTGGTTCAGCATTCAATTTGTTGCAACATTACATAACATGCAGCTTTTGAAAAATTCATATATACTTGTGAAATCTGGGGATGAAAATAGCAAATACTGTCTTAGATTTACTAAGAAAATAGTTTTGACTTCAGAAATCCCTGAGATGGTCCTGGGGACACACAAGGGTTTCTTTTTTTTTTTTTTGTGGGACCCTCACCGGTGGCCGGGGAAACGAACCGGCGCTGCAGAGGCTGCAGGCAGCCCCGCAGCCCAGTGCTCAACCACTGCACCACCAGGGGAGGCCCCACACGAGGGTTTCTAACCACACTTTGAGACTGACTTATTTGCATCAACCCTATGAAGAGAACGTAAAAACTGAGGCACAGAAAGGATAAACAGAATGCTCATGGTCACACAGCTAGAGATGGAATCCCTGATCCCAGACCTCAGGGCTGCCCCTCAGAGATGGGAGGAGAGCAGGAGGGCCCCTTTCCCAACACCAGCCTTCACCCCCATCTCACATGACAGAACTTAAAATGAAATCTTTCAATTTGCACAAAGCAGTGAGAAGGGGAAAGGGCAGTAGCCAGCATACAATTCCTAGGAGAGGGCCCAAGTGTGCCCTACAGTGGAAATGGTGCCACACCTCTCCCGAGGCATGGTACCTAAAGCACATTAAGGAGGAACTACCAAATGCCCTGGAAGCCTCCCAAGGAAATATTCTTTCTTCCCTGCCCAAACCACCATTTTACAAATTTCTAAAATCACTCCATTCAGATACTTCTTTACACCACTCAGTCATTACACAGAAGACTGCCTTTGATCATAATTAAAAAGCTTAAAGGAGCCTCCCTGGTGGTTGAGGAGTTAAGTCTCAGCACTATCACCGCAGTGGCCTGAGTCTGATCCCCGCCCATGGAGCTAACCCACATAGGGTACAGCAGACCTCTCCTGTTTTGCCCACTAGCTCCCATTAGCAGTGTATTACAGTCAATCTCCCTGTTCTGCTCCCCACTCTGTCTCTGGTGAATCCCCTCACTCCCCTGCACCTCTGGGCCACACACCAATTCTTCTAATAAAAATTAATTAATTTTTAAAAAGCTTAAAAATAAGAGTAATAAGGAGAGTCGCTCTGTTGGATATTAAAGCAGATTATAAAGTGATAAAAATTAATATAAGATTGACCTAGTATAAGACTGAAAGGCAAAGCAACAGATCACAACACATAGCTGAAATTAGCCCCAATTATAGAAAACTCAGTACATTATAAAGTAGGTAAGCCTAGTAATTCAAGAATAAAACAAACCATTTCATAATTTGGATAAAAGGAAAAAGTCTATTTAGACTTTAAATCACACACCAAAATAAATTCTAGCTAGTTTAAATGTTTTACAAATAGAGAGGAGAGACTGGTAGGTTGAGAAATGCAGGAAAGGCCTTTCTTGACTGCGTCCCCAAAGCCTATGAGGGCTGCTGCACAGCTTCCCAAGCAGAAGAAACTCTGCTACTAGTCCACTGTAAAATATTGTTGAGTGTAGGGTAAGTAAAATATCAGGCTTTTCCCACCCTCCCGCCATTAGATGGCGGACACCTGGAGTGGGGTGTGGGCACGCGGAGGCAGGATACACCTGAGCTAAGATCGGGCTTATAAGGGCGGTGTCACGGGGACACCAGCAGAGAGCAAAACAGAGAAAGAAAAAAAAAAAGAGAACCAGCAGAGAAGCAGAGGCCATTAGAAAAAGCCAGAGAGAGCCTCCCTGTGGCGCAGCAGTTGGGTGCTGGGCTGCAAAGCTGCCCTCAGCCTCATGCAGCGCAGGTTCAATCCCTGGCCACGGCAAGGGTCCCACATGGCGCAACAGACCTCTCCTGCCACCCGCTGCTCCCCTCAGCAGTGTACTTCATCAGTCTGCCTGTTCTGTTGCCTACTCTGGCTCTGGTGAATTCTCTCACCCTCCCGCGCTTCTGCCTGTACCCAGTGCTTGAATGAATGAATGAATGAATAAATAAATAATAAATAAATAAATCTTACAAGCATTAAGGTGCTTTATAACTTAACACAAGGAATAAAGATTAAAAAAATGCATTCATCCATGTTACTGCTATTGAAATATGCTTAACATTAATATTTTAGTGCTAAAAACAATTCAATTTTCTTAGTAACCTTCTTTATTTAATAAAGTAGACAATTTAAGCTGCAAGAACATACACTTTCCCTCAGGGCCTTGGTAAAATTATTTTAATTTTGAATGGGAAAAAGATGAATCTCATAAACATGTTTATTTTTCCATAATTGGTTCTATTACCCCCAGAAGGCTTAGGGATTTAGGAGAACTTTCCACTGCTAATGTCAGGAAGCCTAAAGGCAGGAGATGAGCCTGGGAAGTAAGTGCTAGAGGATTAGAAAAACCCTGATGTGACCTTAGGCAAACATTTCCCTTTTCCCTGTCTCTAAAAACCAGAGATACCAACTCTCACCAAAGAAAAAGAATAATGAGGTAGTGTACACAAATCTCCTAGCCCTCAACTATAGGGAGTTTATCAGAGAGCAATCCTTAAGTAAACGTTGGTTTCTTTTCTGTTCCCGTTTTCCCTCACAAAACCTTCCTAGTCTTCTACCTTCCCTGACTTCTCTAACAAGACCTCCCCTGTGCCCCCAGTAGCCCCTCCATTTCAGTGAGTAGTCTGAAATAGTGTTACCTCCCATGCAGGCAAGAGCCACATGCTCCCAACCCTCTCCCTAAACCCTCTCAGAGCAATCAAGGTGACCAGAACCACCTGGTTACCCTCATACCCTGGTTACTCTCATGCTTCCTTGGTATATGGCTGAGGCAAGGGTCAAGCAAGGTCAACTACAGTCACGAGTTGGAACTTCATTCTCTTTAAGCCACTTCAGTAAGGCCCATAAACATAGTTGAGGCATAAAACAAAACTGTATAAAGTGCTACTATAAAGTAATGGAAGTCATTGCACTTCCTAGTATCCTTCCTTCAATCACACCTGTACCTTCAGGTGTGAAAAACTAAGGACTACAAACACAATTTGTCAAAAATAAAATCTCATACGGTTCATTCAATCTAGCTTACAGCTACAGCACTTACTCCATTGATAGTACTGGTGATGGTGCTGGCTTATGATCATCAAACGGGTCTGTTCTAGTACCATTTTAAAATCGCATCCCACTTCTCTACTGGCCTCTGTACTTGGTTCTGAGTTTTGAGATTGCTACTCTATCAGATATTCCTCATTTAACCTGGCCTTCCGGTATAATGATTTTGTTGCCTTTCTTTGACATGTGTGGCATGAAACATTCAATATCTAATATATTCATGTATGATCTCCTGTACCTTTTACCTTCTTTTTTTTCCCTAGTCTGAAGCTATTCTTGTCTCTTGCCCTCCATTCTAGATCTACCAGTATCTGTGTCTTTCTCCTATCTTTTGTGATCTTTTGTCTTGGTCTTTTGTTGTTTTACTGTGGTAATGCATCATTGCTGAAAACATTATTAATCTTTTTTTTATAACATTCCATTGATAACATATACCTATGTGTTTTAAAGGTAAATTCTAGTTATTCACTGAACAACTATTTAATGAATGCCAAATAGGTGTCTAATATTAAAGCCATAGCAGAGTTCATCTCGCTTGCAGAATTTAGTCCATAGGTTAGAACAGACAACGTAGATACAAGTTCTTGTCACTGGACTATCAAGAACAAGAAACAGTACTGATGTGATGCAAGAGTTAGCAAACACATTTATAGGTCACAGGAAAATCAATTTAAATAGCATAATAGATCCAAGACATGTAGAAAGAAAATAGCCTTCTATTTTATGAGTTGTATCAGTGATTTAGAATTAAAATAAAGAAAACATTTCCAAACCTCACATCCACAGTATTATTTGACTCATGGTCAAACACTTCAAAAGCTTCTTTGATTTTTTTGTTATATTCTGCTATCAGGAGCTCTGAAAAGAGTAAATAAAAATTATTTTACTTTAACTGTGAATTCTTAACAAAAAATTTCAATCACTAAGTTTGAAATTCTTAATAAGGAGGAACACACAGAACTCTTTCCTAATCTTAACATATCATTTAGCATGTTTAACTTCCTCTGGAAAACTCAAAGAATGAAACAGACTTCTTTAAAATACTTTTTTTATTAAGGCATAATACACATACAATAAAGTACAAATGTGCACTAATTTCAAGTACACCCCTTAATGAGATTTTACATATGTATACAGGCATGGAGGCACCACCCAAATCAAGACAGACCATCTTCAGCACAGCCTATCTTCTGGCTCAAGTAGTTTGGGTGTAGTTCTAGCCTAAGAGGTGGAAGGAGTCCAGCGACATAGATAATAATTTTGGCTCACTAGGGTGCTGGCTTGCCTTGCTTCAGTGTACACTGGAAGTATACCCTCCAATATACCTCTGAGGTATACCCTCAGAGGACTGACACTGTGGGAGCCTGTAGAGGTATACATGGTTGTTTCCAGGTTTTACCTATTGTAAATAGTGTTGCAGTAAACATAGGGGTACAGGTGTTCTTTTGAATCAATGTTTTTGTGTCCTTTGGGTAGATCCCTAGTAGTGGAATTGCCAGGTCATATGGTAGCTCCATTTTTAGTAGACTGAGGAAGCTCCACACAGCTTTCCATAGTGGTTGGACCAGTTTGCACTCCCACCAGCAATGTAGGAGAGTTCCTTTTTCACCTCATTCTCACCAACATTTGTTGTTGCTTGTTTTTTTGATATGTTTCATAAGAATGAAATTGGTGTAAGGTGGTATCCCAATGTGGTTTTAATTTGCACTTCCCTGATGATAAGGGATGTTGAACATTTTTTCATATGCCTGTTGGCCATTTGCATTTCCTCTTTAGAGAAATGTCTTTTAAGTTCTTCTGCCCATTTCTTGAACCCAAATGCTCAAAAATAGATGACTGGATCAAGAAGAAGTGGCATATATACACAATGGAATATTATTCAGCAATCAAGAAAGATACTCATGCCATTCACAGCAACATGGATGGAACTAGAAGGAATTATGCTCAGCGAAATAAGCCAGAAGGAAAAAGAAAGATATCGGATGGTTTCACTTATAACAGGAATATAGGGGAACCCATTAGACATCAGTGTAAAAAAATAACAACAGTACAAAACACAACAAAGCAAAAACAGACAATTATAAATCAGAGACATCCTGCAGGGGAGGCGGAGGGGGAGGAGTGAGAGGGGAGGAGTGAGAGGGGAGGAGGAGCACAGGGGACTGAGGTGATGATGCACGGGTGCATTGGTGAAGGAAGTTCTATGGGGACTACACCTGAGGGGGTGGAGGGAAGCAAATATTGTTTAATAATGAACAATGATGTAAAAAATAAAAAATAATAAAAAGCAACATAGGACATTCTCTCAAGGAGCTTACAAAGTAGTTTTTGAAGGAAGACTCACAAAACGATTGAAAAGTTATTCAATAAATATTTGTGGGTAACTACCATTTGTTGTATTATATTTTAAAACAATTTGAGTAAGATGGACAAGTTTTTGTTCAAAAGTTTGATACAATTCATTTACAAAGTTCTCTGGGCTTTTGTTTTCATGAAGACTTTATTGCTGTTTCAGTCCCCATGCTTGTGATTGCTTTGCTTAACTCTTCTGTTTGTTTCTGGTTGAGTCCTAGTAAATTATTTTGATCTTGACATTTATCCATTTCTTCAAGGTTATTGATTTTATTGGCATTTGGTTGCTCATAGTAATCTCTTTGTTCTTTGTATTTCTGTGCCACCTGTTTATTTTAAAAATACAAGGAAAGACAATGTTTCAAATACATTAATGATGGTACTATTACCCTACTTACAGAAACCAGATAAAGACAGCATTAAAAAAGAGAGAATTATATACCTGATGACCATCACTACAAGTCTCTTCAACAATATACTAGCAGGTTGAATTCCATAATATATCACAAATAATACACATCATGACCAAGTGGAATTTATTCCAGGGATGCAAGAATAGTTTAACATGCATATGTCAATCAATATAATACATCAGCAAAAGTAAAAAATCATATAAGATCAATAGATGCAAAGAAAGCATTTGCAAAATTCTGTATCCATTTGTGATTAAAACGCTAAGATGGAAATAAAAAATAAATATATAAAGGCCATAAGTTACAAACCAACACCCAATATAATACTTAATGGTGAAAAACTGAAAGCTTTCCCCTTAAGATCAGGAACAAAACAAGGATGCCATTGTCACCAAGTCTTTTTAACTTAGTATTAGAGGTTTTGGCCAGAGTTATCAGAAACAGCAGGAAATAAAGAGACTCTGGGTCAGTAAAGAAAAGAACCTATCACTATTCACAGATGATATACTTATATGTAACGACTCCACCAAAATACTATAAGAAACAATAGATTACTACAGCAGAGCAGCACCCTCAGTCAACATCGACATCAGTAGCATTTTTATATACAAACAATGAAAAGCAAAAGAATCAAGAAAATAACTCCATTTATAGTTGCTTCAAAAGGAATTAAATATCTTGTAATTAATCTAACTAAGGAGGTAAAGGACCTATACAACAAGAACTACAAGACATAATTAAAGGATTTAGATAGTGACATGAGGAGATAAAAGGATATCCCAATGCTCATGGATAGTGAGAATCAATATAATCAAAATGACTAAGCTGCAAAAAGCAATATATAAATTTAACACAATCCCCATTACAATGCCCATAATATTTTTCAAAGAAACTTAACAAAATATACTGAAATTTATATGGAACCAGAGAAGGCCTCAAATAGCAAAAAGGATACAAACAGATGCATCTTGTTATATGACTTCAAACTTTATTATAAAGCAACAATATTAAAAACAATATAGTGCTGGCATAAACACAAATCTATAGAACAATAAAATAGAAATCAATGCCCAGAAATAAATCCAGGTACATATCAGTACCAAGTCTATGATAAAGCAGCCATACCCACAAAACGGGGAAAGGACAGTTTCTTCAATAAATGGTGCTGGAAAAACTGCAAAGTCACACATGAAAGAATAAAGCTGATCACTTGCTAACTTCATACACAAAAATAAATTCCAAATGGATTAAAAATTTGTATATATGACCTACAACAATAGAATATATAGAAGAAAAAATTGATGGTATGTTCCAATGCATCAACAATAAAAATGTTTCTGGACATTTAACCATATCATGGCAAGGGAAATAAAAATAATAATAAGCAATTGAAATAACCTTAAGCTTAAAAACTTAAAAGATGGATCCCACTAGTCATTGAATTTACAATAACCAAGACACGGAAGTAACTTAAATGTAAAGGATGGATAAAGAAGTTGTGGTATGTGACATGTGGTGTGTGAGGGTGTGTGTGTCTATATGTGTACATATGTTCCCATGTATGATATATATACATATATAATAACACATTAGTCATAAAAGCAAAAGAAGTCTTGCATTTGTGACAACATGGATGGAGCTTGGGGGTATTATGCTAATTGATATATCAATATGACATATCAATTAGCTATAATTGCATATCAATTAGCATAATATTGGATGATCTCACTTATATGAGAGATTTAATGGTAACATAAATGGAATCTAAAAATTTAGTAGTAAAAAAATAAACTCATAAATACAAAGAACATATTAGATTGGTAGTTACCAGAGGTAAGAGTAAGAGGTGAGTGAAATGGGTGAAGGGGGTCACAAGGTACAAAGTTCCAGTTATAAAACAAGTGAGCCATGAGGATGTAAAGTGCAGCGTGTGGCTAAAGCCAATACTGCATTGCATATTTGAAAGTTGCTAAGAAAATCATTAAAGTCCTCTTCCCAGGAAAAAAAAAAAAATTGTTACTATATATAGTATGGATATAAACTAGAATTACTGTCAGGACAGTTTTGCAATATATATATATCAAATCATTATATTGTATACATGGAACTAATGTTATATATCAATTATACCTCAATAAAAATGTTTTAATATAAAAACAAAGGTATCAGAAGAAAAGGAAACTACAGACCAAAATCCCTTAGCAATATAAACAAATTCCTCAACAAAATACTAGCAAACCAAATTAAGACACATATAAAAAGGATTATACATCATAACCAATAGAATGGGTGGGGAAACATATGATCATTATCAGCTATTTGACAAATTCACATACTTTCATGATAAAAACACTCATAAAACTAGAAGTGGAAGGGAACTTCTCAACATTATAAAACATATTTATGGAAAACCCATACCTAATGTCATACTTAAAGGTAAAAGATATTTTCATGCTGTGAAAATCAAAGCTTAGAAAGGAAATGGTTATTTTGTCTTAATCTGGCACACCAGGGGAGATATTAAGCATCCGTCTATTGGTCTAAATTTATAGCATCAGATGGATTCTTATACAAATACTGTAAGTGAGTATCATTGGGAAACACTAAAGAAATAGCAAATGCATAGAATATCCTCTTAAGGGTATGTTTCTAACTTTTGTAATCAGTTTCTAAGTTTTTACTTTGAGTCAGGCTTCTTATTATTGATATGTGTCAGCATCATTTTATTCTTGTTTTTGTTTTGTAGAATTATACTAAAGAGTTTTCTTTGTAATTTTCTAGAACTGTTCTGCAAAAGTTTAAGAACAGGAATTATAGTATCTTGGTAATGTAAAAAGAAAAAAAAAACCCGAAAGGGAAATATTCTTTTTTTAAGTTATTTAAGATCTTTATTAGCAGATGCTTTCAGTTTGTTGTTTTTTTTAAAAAAAAAACAAGTTACAAATTTTTATGAAAAATTAAAAATGAGGTTCTTAAAAATTTCAACTTGACTGGATAGAAAACAATTTTAAAACCTTCAAAGGTATATTGAGAAAAACCAAATTTAAAAAAGAAAATGCCTGTCATTACCAAAAAGAGACATTTTTATGTAAA